GAGAGAGAGAGAGAGAGAGAGAGAGAGAGAGAGAGAGAGAGAGAGAGAGAGAGAGAGAAGCACTGTGAAGAGCACTGACACAATAGTGTGGATCGTGGTTGGTGATCTGGTTGTTGTCCTGCTGTTTTTTGAGTCCAGCCTCCTCCAATTCACAGGTTTAAGCTCAGAGCTATTGGCGGGAACTTGAATGCTATCCCAGGGCTTGTGGGGATGATTGAGGTGCGTAATGTGCAATTTGGACACTCTCACCGACAGGCAAGCAAGGGCAGTTGTGTGTTACTGTCTTCCCGCAAACAGAACGTATGTCGTATGGTCATTCTCGCTGCCTGTGGACTGAAACTTGCGCCAAATGCAGCTATAATGACGGGAATAGGTTCTATTCAGTTGAACACAGTAGTCAAGCTAAAACTTTTTCTTCTCTTTTTTTTGTTTTTTTTCTTTTTTTTAAAACATAACACAGGTCCTTATGGCCCTAGCTCCATTTCCATTCTGGGGAGCATCAGTCCGGTTCCTATTCCACTGGCAAGTCAGAATAAAATGATACATCATGAAACACACTCATGCTGCCTTCCGTCTGGCCGAAGGAACCCTGACGAGCATTGATTACTCCAGCATCATGGAGGATTGACTGTCGGCTGGCCTTACTTCCGCCTTTCCTCTCAGGTTCACTGTGTGAACCTGTCCGATAAATGATAAAGAGCAAGAAAGGTAAAAGAAGCTACGGAAGATGCAATCTCAGAATTTGCCCTTGAATATTACGTGGCCTGTGATGGGCCTTGTCTATCTGCTGGCTGGGATTCCTGTCTTCTCCACCCTGCCTCTGAGTTGTGCCAGTCTTTCCGCTGTATGCGAAAGTCATTTATCTCTTCGACTTTGCCCCCTGCGAGCCACACCTTAGTGAATTTTGCCTTTGATTCTTCTCTGTTGCTCTTCGTCATCTGGCATGGAGTGTCTTGTCTTTTGCTACTTATAACGAATCTCTGCCTGAATCAAGGTCCTTGTCTCCGCCCATACCTTCTCCCTTGGAGTTGAGATTCCCTCAATGGTTCTGCAGCACCTTTCCTTCCAGATGGACCACAGCGTCACCTTTCTGATCATTCCGAACCGTGTCTTCTCTATCTTGTGGAATTGAGCTGGGATGTTAGTCCATAGGCGGAGTTGGATGGAGTGCTCAGGTAGGGGAGTCGAGAAGAGGGAGTCCCAAAGATCCGAGGCCCTCGCCCAATATTCTGTCGCCTCCCTACAGTGTATCAGGCAACATAGCATATCTTCTGGTTCATTTTCTGAACACATCGCACATATATCTGAACTGTTGGGGTCCTTCTTACTTCTTCTGATATGCAGCCACTGGTTAACTTGTAGAGCCACATAAGAGATGAGGCATTGGAGGCTTCTTCTCTATTTTGGCCGGACGGGTTGATTTGAGTTTTTTCTATGGTATTTGTGGGATCTGACTAGCGTCCTGACCTATTAACTTCTGCCATCTGTTCTTTAAGCGTTGGGTCAGGATCCTTTGTTTTGAGGAGTAAGTTGTATCCCAGCCGTGTTGCTCCCCATGAATAGATTGGAGCATCGTCTCATTAAAAAAAAAAAAAAAAAAAAAAAGTTGTACCGCAGGTTAACTGTGTATTCCTGGATGGGTACATTCGTTTTGATACTTCTGCTTCTGTCTGATGTCCACGCCCACTCTGCTGGATCAAATTTCAGGTCCTGAATCGCGGTATCTATTCTGAAGATTGCTTTTCGCCATGATCCCAACACTACTTTTCTGAGAACAAAAGGGTTTAGGACTGTTCTTTCCACCTCCTTATTCAGGATAGATGGGAGGCCTTGCGTGGAGGGGGTGATTGGGAAAGAAGTAAACACAGCCAGGGTATCCAACCCTTTGTGAGGACGACAGGAATCCCGGCCAGTAGATAGACAAGACGGGGGTTGCCTCAAGATCTAGTCCTTGGATTTGGGTCTACCCACCTTCTTCGACATGACTTCCCACCATATCCGTAGCAATGCAGTCCAGTATGGTGTGGGAGGCCTGGCCTCGTTTGGACCGCTTCTCTTCGTTGATTTTTGCGCCCTGCACTCGGACTCCATACCTTGTTCATTACCCAGAACAGACTGGACATGTTTGCTGGTGCGGCTGTCGGTGCTAGGCCCCTTATGCTATCCAAGGCCAGTTTATTCCATGCCGTACCAGGTTTAGTCAGTAGTTTGACGATCCATTTAACTTGTAGGGCTTTGGTTTCCTGTTTGGGGTCTATAATACCAAGGCCTCCTCTGGCTGGTTTCCTTGTGATTGTAATGCCAGGCTATCTTTGGTATACAGTTCTCTTTGTTGGGGTCTCCCGACCACAAGTACACTCTTGCTTTGCGGTTAAGTTCCTTGATTGTATGGTCCGGAACTGTCCAGATTGATGCTATATACCACATCATTGAAAAAGTGGATGTGTTAATGGCTAGTGCTCGGCCCAGCAACGATGTGAATGTGCTACGCCATCTGCTCAGTTTGTTAATTTGTTTGACAACAATGACGAGTATATTTTGGGCCATCTGAGGGGCGAAGCTGTCTTTTGTCAGCAGGATGCCCAGATACCGCATAGGGGTTTCCGGTGTCTCCCATGTCATGCCTGCCTCGAGGCCTTGAAGCTGGGGAACTTCCTCCCCCGTTAGCCACCAGCCAATTGTCTTCTTCCAATTGATTTTCGTTTCTGATGCCAGTCTGAACGCTTCCATTGCTCTTACTAGCGCGCTGAATGACGAGTCTGAAGCTCTTATGAGGACCGTGAGATTGTCTGCAAACATCATTACTGTCGGGAACTATAGGTGGTGGGCTGTTCCTTCATTGACCTCTGATAGCCTTTGTATTGAGGGATCTTTGCGTAGGAATGAGGATATTGCTTCCATCACGAAGAGGAAGATTGGGGGGGCTAGTGGATCCCCTTGGCGAATTGATCGAGAGATTGGATAGCAACCGGAGAGCAAGCCATTGACTTGGACGCATCCTATGGCGTCATTATACAAAATGCGCACCCACTTCCTAAAATTCGGGCCCACTCCCATCTTTTCCATGCTTGCATTGAGAAAGGCCCAATTGACATGGTCGTAGGCCTTTCCAAAATTGAAAAAAAGAATTGTTGTGCTTATCCTTTTTTCTCTGACTTTGTTGGCCGCTTCGTTGAGGGTTAGTACGTTGTCCAGGATGTATCTCCCAGGGATGAAGCCTGTTTGGTCTATATGAAAGCATTTGTGTGTCAGGTCTAGGATTCAAAGGGCAAGAACTTTGGCTAGGATCTTATAGCGAAGGGTTAGAAGCGAGATGGGTCTGTAGTTCCTGATATCTTCTTTCTTCCCTTTTTTGTACAACGAAGTAACCACGCTGCTACTCGGTAACTTTACCAGTCGGCCCTTGAGTCAGCTGTCGTTGTAGAAGTTTAGCAGATCGCCCCTTAATAGCGGCCATAAATTTTCCCAGAATTCTTTCGTCAGCCCGTCGATTCCTGGTGACTTGTACTTGTTCATACCTAGGACAACAAATTGCAGTACTTCCATGGTGATGGGCTTGTCCAAAGCTTCTGCTTCTTTCTGAGATATCATTTGTTCGTGCCTCTCTGGTGCTGGGCGGAGTAGGCATAGGGGTCTTCGTGTGATAGAGCTCTTCATAGAATTCCTTTGCTACATTCAACATTCCTTCACTATCTGTAGCATATCAGAAAGTGAAATGCACTGACAGCCTAGGATCTAGCAATGACGAAAGTGGCAACAACCAGCAGCATAGGTSCARCATTCACAAGATGTCAATGTGCATGATGCAAAGAGCAACCCAACGAGAAATCAACAACAACACATTCGTATCATTATCATCATGGGCTGTGAAGCAGCGCAGCGGAAAATTTAGTATCAAAGGACACGTGGACAACAACATGAAAAGGAGAAAACTTCGGAAGGGCAAGACATCAGAAAGATTGCCCTTCCGCTCACACACATGGGGAGAGATCCATAGACATGCGAGAGAGAAGGGGGAGGGACGGAGGTAACCAAGTCCAACCCAAGTCTGATCTCCGAATGTCACACACAGTTCAATCCCAATGTAGAGTGCAAGTTCGATCTGAATGTCGTGTCCAATAGGGCAGAATGCCGTGTCCAAACAATGTCTGCAGTTACCTCTATCTCTACTCTGAGAATAAGAAGAAGAAGAAGAAGAAGAAGAAGAAGAAGAACTTCGGAGGAGTAGGAAGAGAAGAGGAGTGGAGAAGAATAAGAAGGAGAAGAAGAAGAAGAAGAAGAAGAAGAAGAAGAAGAAGAAAGCTAGGTGCTTTCTGCACTTACCTGGCGATGGCTGAACTTGCAGGTACCACGGAGCCAGCTATGGCGCTGGGCAGGTAAGTCCTCTTCTCTCTCTCTCTATCTCTCTCTCTAACTCCACTACCCTCCTCGGCGCTGGACTCCTCCAGCGCTGTGCCTCATGGCCGATGAGCAGCGCAGCTGCAGTCTCGAAATRGCRCAGCAGGGAGTCTCCAAAATAGCGCAGCAGCCAAGTTCCTGAACCAGCATAACGCTGGATTTCTCCTGGTACCTTCTGTGTCCGAACTGGGCAATGGCCCAGCTTAAGTAGTGCTGGGCCAGGACTGAAAACCCACGGCCTGCGTTCTGGACCGTGCAGATCGAAACTTTCCGATCCACGGTCCAGATCGCAGGCTTCGAAAACTGGTTCAGTCCTTGGCCTAAAACGGCCTGCCTGGGTCCCTACCGGACGTCCAGGCCCTGTCCAGGATTAATCTTCCTGGTACCTGGCTTCARAYCGGTCCTGTGCGGACRTACCCGGCCTCAACGTCGGCCTGGGTTCGAACAGGTCAAAATCTGTTCGAAAACAAAAGAAAAGGTCCAAACGTTTTTAGGAGCTCAGCCTCTGGGCCTGAATCTGGCCCTGGCCCTAGAAGCGTGTACCTGGCCACAAAACRGACAAYAGTACACCCRTTAGAAAAWCAGCAGCAAATAAATAAAATAAAGACTATAAAAATAATCTAAAGCTGGCGTTTTTTTGATGCAGGCCCAAGTAAAAATGCCATAGGGCCTTCAGGTTGCGGTGATGCGACCTGGGGGCCCTATTCCAACCTCGGGTCCCGTGAGGGGCCCGTGTGTAGGCTTTCAGCATGTAACACTATCTGTCACTGTTTCAGTTGGGTTTGAGAGGGTTTTCAGGCTTTCTATCGCATTGGCCTTTGAGTCTGCTTTGATTCTTGCGAAGAAGTTTTTTAACATTGACTCACTTAGCTCGTATTCTTTCATTCTGGCTCTTATTTGTAGTCTCTTTAATTCCCACCATCTCCACATAGTGAGTTTTTCTCTTGCCTTTTCGAAAATATGTGTGTAAAGTGCAGAAGAGGGGTTATCAATCAGATTTGTCTCCTCAATCTTCAGGGCTGTCTCCAACGCGTGCTTCCTCTGTTTCCTGTCGGTCGCTAATTTCCTTAAGATTCTAGCAACCGTTTGTGATAATGTGGAGTAGCTTTCCTGAAACCACTCCCACTGATCTTCTATCGGTAGGTAGGCACCCCTCAAATTCTGCCAACACTCATGAACTCCTGCCTGAAAAGTCTGGCTCAGAAGGAGGGGGGAGTTGTTGAGTTTGTGAAAGCTAGACCCCTTTTTGACATACTGTTCCAAGCTGATTATGAGTTCGATGGGTTTGTGGCCCACACCCGGCCACGGTGCGAGGGGCAGGATCTCAGCGCTTTTCGCTGTCCCCATTAGTGTGTCCCTGAGATCAAGAAGTAGTCAATGAAGGAGAAAGCGGTGTGCTGGGCGTGGTTCTTTGTAACCAATGTGAAGGCTCTTGTCCCCGGATGCAAAGTACGGTATGGTTCAACTAGATTTGTAGTCCATCATCAACTTTTGGATGGGCACCGCCTCCTGTGTAAGCTGACCAGCCGATGACCTAGATATACGAATCGTGGCGGGGTCTATAGTTGCGTTCCAATCACCGACCAAAATGCAGGGCGGCAGAGGGAGGATCAATTGGCCGATGTTTATTTTAAATGTCGATCTGTCTGAAGAGCCGTTTGGTGAATAAAGTTCAAGAAACATCTGAACTCTTCCTCCTTCCACTTTACATCCATAAGGCACCATCTACCGTCTACCGTGTCCGCCTCTTAGCCCACTATCGACCCTGCCGTGCAAAGGCGGGATGATTTGGGTATAAGGATGGTTGTTCCTTTCGTGCTTGACGTATTACCTGAGGACCATATTTCGTCCTTCATTCCTCCCAGTTTCCTTGGTAAGAATTTACGAGTTCTGTTGTGTGTTGCTGAGAAGGTGCAGTGAGTTTCTTGCAGCAATATGATATCTGCCAGTTTATTTGTATGAACGGAAGTCCTTCGATTATGTCATTCATTTTTTCTTCTTTGTCGATAATATTTTCGAGACCGTTAATATTCCAGCTCCTAATGACTATCCCCTGTGTCTTCCAGTCCATCCAGTCTTCCTTCGCGTTTGCCCCCCTTCTAAAAAACTCCATCATTGTCATCCATCTCTGTTGACTCATCACCCAGCGGGTCCTGTTGCGCAGTAGTGACCAAATCATCTAAAGCTTATATTCCCCCACATTTCCACTGGTTCCCTGTCCGGGGACAAGGGCCGGTTCCGAACCTACTCCCTCGTCCTCATCTTGCCACTCCATTTTGCTTCCGGAGCAATCCCTTCTGTAACATCTGTCCAAGCTAACACTAATTAACACTAGTCCATATGGGGTGTGTTTTGCAGTGCGGTGAGTGCGCCCAAAAACAGTCCTGTGGATGGCTGTGGGTCTTGCAATTGATCGGTTGATTGCATGACAGGGCTCCTGCCATGACAGTTTGCATCCACTTTTTTGCGTCCTCCGCCGTGGTTCTGGTGAGAGCTGGTGCGTTCGCGGAAAGTGGGGGGTGAGACGTAAAATATCCAAAAAAATGAACGTGGAAAACGTAGATCAACAGTCCAGAACAAGAGAAAACGAAACCTGCATCGCCTATGTCATCAGGAAGAAAAAGAGATGTCCGTGCTGAGCCTGTTGTATTCAATTCCCAGAAAGGAAAGTGGCGTGTTCTTTTTTAGGAGTTGTTCCCTGATCGAAAGCCGTGTGTGCATCTGTTCATGGGGGTCAAAAGAGGGCGAGCGGTGATCTCTTTTTTTTTTTAACCATTCCATTAGCCCTGTTGCTCTGTCTGTAACTTCGAAATTAGAATGACATTTTTCGCCTTAAAAGAGTTTAGAAAAGTCAAGGAACTTCAAGAAGTGTCCTTCGAGAGATCGGTTTAAATTGGAACGATACAGTGTAGGAAGTTGTTTTTTTTTTTGTTTTTTTTTTTTTTTAAGAAGGAAGATTTAGCATGTCCCCTGGGGCTCGGACCGACTAGCATTGTTTAAAACGGTGTGTGGCGTTCTTTTCTCATTTAAAAATGCATAAACAATGCTATTTTTCATTTACACGAATGCAAAGAAAAGGACACCCCCCCAAAAAAATCACGGGGCCTGACGTCGACATCATGACTGTACAGGCTGTGCATCCACACTTCGCGGTACATCTGCATGCGCGACCTTCCCACCGGCCTGTTCGCAGTCTTCCACGGAAATCTGCACATAAACAAATCACGGTGCGAAGCTTCAAAAACACCCCCCCCCTAAAAAAACAATAGAATTGAAGATTCCCGCCAACGCAAAGTGGCGAACTAAATGGCCAACAAATAAATTTAAAATTTTTCTACTGGCCGATGGGCAGCTGCCTCCACGACAATCGACACTAGTAGTCGATACGGACATCGGTTAACGATTGACATTTGTCACGGACGGCCGCATGTGATCGAAAACCACAGAGCACAGGCGTAAATCAGACCTAGTCGTTCCCCTAGCCCCTGGGCAAGAAATGACACGCATAAATCGAGAAATGGTCCAAAAAAAGAAAAGGAGGAAAAAAAAAAAAGAGGTGAAGAGAGCGAAACCGGATAATGCAGTAGTTTCTGGGCCGTACAGAATAACAGTCACGGCCTGCTCCAGTGGGCGCGGTGGAGCCTCTCGAGGCTCGGTTTGGCTTCGGGACCGGCTTCACCTGAAGACAACGTGTGGGCATTATGGCTGTACCGAGGCTTGAAGTTGCTCCAAATGACCGTACATTCTATTCGTGGGAGGACGGCAACGCTCTGAAGAATCTGCGCGTTGTCGGTTGGTCCTGGCCTTTATCCGCACATGGGTGGATGTCAGGCATGTGGGGGGTTGGGAAAAAGAGGGAATGGGGGTATGAGGGAGCGGGTGCAAATTGTGTTATAGCGTGGGTGTCACGGACAGGTTCACGCAAAAGTTATGGACAGGTTCCACCGACAGGCCTGGCCGGTTCCAGACACCCGATCCATTTGGGAAGCAGAGTCCCGATCATCTGGACAGCATTTGAATGTCCACATCTGATCCAGGAGCAACGCTGTACCAGACGGGGGAAAAGTTTTGGTTTTGTTTTTGCTTTCGATTTTGATTTTGTTTTGTTTCTGTTTTTGTCTTTGTTTTTGTTTTTGTTTTTGTTTTTGTTTTGTTTTTTTCTGAGGATCTCAAGTTGACTGTCTATGGAATGTGATTTGTCTTGAGATATCTTTTTTTTCTTGTTTCATGATTGTGCGCTTTTTTTATTTGGGGAAGTTTTTTGATGCCCCTCCGGCTTCGATTTATTTGCGGTATGCCCCTCTGAAGGGCAACTTACCCTGTCGTGCCCCTGGGGCCTCTGAAGTTTCCTGCAGCCCCCTGTCAGTGAGGGGTGCAACTTTCCAGCATGCCCCTGTGGCCGTCGCTGGTACTCGTGGCCGTTCCCCTGGCCCTGGGAGGGGGAGGGGAGCTACTGGGGCATACTGGAAATTTGGAACCGTTACTGGTAGGGACATATTGGACATATTTCAGGCCCAAACGACGCCAGGGGTTTTCCAGAAACTTCAATCGATGTCAGAGGGAAGCGGCAGTGTAAGTCGCCCATCAGAGGGTCATACCGCAAATAAATGGAAGTCGGAGGGCCATTTTGAATTTTTTTGGAATGGGGGGGAGGAACACGTGTTGCGCGCGCGCGCGCGAGAGAGAGAGAGAGAGAGAGTCTTTGACATGCAATCATGACGGAAATTAAATATAATAAATACTGAACTTTGGCTTCGATACCTTCCCCACACTATTAAATTAAATATAATAAATAAAGGCTTCGTATGAAGGGAAAAAAAATAGAAGTTTCAAAATTCAAGTTTCCTTTTTCTTTGATGAGCTTTCGAACTCAGCGATCAGGAGGCGGCTACTGACCACCGAGCCCTCGCAACTTCTCAAACTTTGGAGAAATTTTGATTTTTGACTTTTATTATTATTTTAAATATTGTAGTTTGATAGGTCCAACAGTTAAAGTAAAATTAAAAAACATACAGCCTAGCTTAAAAAAAAAAAAAAAGTTTTTTTTTTTTTTTGACACTTGGACCAGAAAGTGGCAGAAACTCTATCAGAAATTATCATGAAAATGCTGCTTAAGTGTTGACAGCAGCAGTATTATTTTGTGGCCAGGGCATCGTTGAGGACGTGCTAAATGACATTATCATGTGGCCACAACGTATCGTCATCAAATTGATCGAGGGTGACTACAGGTAAGGTTCAAAAAAAAAAGAAAAAGAAAAAAAAGGAGGGCGTTTTTCTTGCAATTTTGTTGAAGCGATACAATAATTTGAGTTTTGAAGTTTTTGGATTCGACTCTTTTTTTAAGTTTTTTTATCTCTCTTTGAATTACAGGTAACATACATAAGTAATAATTGTATGTTATATAACCTTAGTCTCATAATAATAAGAATAAAAATTCAATAAGGAATAATAAAGTAGATATTATCATAAACAACATTGTGCATTTAATTTTAATTTCACATTAATTGCTTTTTCAAAGTCAACCTGTGGTGGCCGTTCGTTGTTCGACTTCTTTGAGCTTTTGAAGGGTATATATGAACACGCCAACTCACCGACTCTTTTCTTTTTTTTTTTGACTAAAAATGCGGTTGCAAATTTCTATTCTCTCGTTTTTTCTCTTTTTTTTTTTCTTCTTTTTTTTTGTTTTGGGTTGCAATTGGGGGACATGCACACCCGCAGAACTAGTTGCAAGGACGTTATGCCTTCAATTGCATGAAGATTTGCCATTCAGCTTTCTTTCATGGATTTAAAACTCCTCATCATTTTGCGAGGATTTAAGACCTCGGCATACCCCTGCATGTCTGGTCTACTCCACTTTGCCTTACACTACTCTTTTCTGCTCTACTCTACTTCACTATCCTCCTCTCCACTCTCCTCCGCTTCACTCCACTCCACTCTCCTCCACTCAACTCCACTCCACTCCACTCCACTCTACTTTACTCTACTCCACTCCACTCTACTCCACTCCACTCTACTCCACTCCACTCGACTGTACTCCACTCTACTCTACCCTACCACGTACCTGGTCCTGGCGGAGGTCCGCATGGACGACTTCTGCATCTACTTTGGTTGCTGCTGCTGAAGTCAACTGGTTGCTTTGTCCTTTGAGTAGGCTAGCGTAGTAGCTGTAGGATCGTAGTCTGGGGGCGCTGAGCGCCAAGTCTGGATACATTGTTGGTGGTGGCGAGAGAGTGACCTCATTGACAACAGAGTTTGGCGCTTTGGTTGTCCGTTGGTGCGATATCAGGGCATTTCTGCTTTCCGGACACCTTTTGACTATCTGGCATTCAATGTGATTTTGCAATTTGGGATTCTGTCATTCCGCTATTGCTCATTTTCGCTGCAATTCGCCCACAAGCTAGGCTGCCAGCCGGGCCGCCCGGCTCACGCTGTTTTCCCGGGCGGCACGTCCGTGCAAAGACCAGGGAAGGTCCCAGCAAAAAAAAAAAAATAAAAAAAAATCTTAGGCTACCAGCAGGACTGCCCGGGTCACCTTGTTTTCCTGGGCGGCCCGGCTGTGCAATGACCCAGGAAGGTCCCAGCAAAAAAGAAAATCCAAAAAATCCAAAAAATCCGAAAAAAAAATTGTTAAGCAGAAAAATGAACTGCACACCTTTTATCTCAGGGTCACATCGAAATTCTTAACCAATTTTAAAGTTTAAACTAAAAAACAATGTTAAAAAATATATATATATATATTTTTTTGGCTCGGCCTGCAAGTGGTCCCGGGACACCCTGGTAGCCTAGACAAAATCCGAAAAAAAAACTATGTTATGCAGAAAAATAAACTGGACAACTTTTGCCGCTGGGTCACATTGTAAACTCGATACTGTACAATGGGTAAGGTGAGGTCTGGGGCCCACATCTGTGACTGCAAAAGGTGAAAACCGTTTCATATTTATTTTAAACCCGTGACCTATGTTTTGGCAGTTGCTTGTTTGTCTGTCGTAGGTCTGTGTAGATGTAGGGGATCGATCTGTAGGTCTGTCCAGTAGGGGTCGTAGCTGTGTAGAGGTTGAAACTGCTAGGCTAGAGGTCTGTAGGTGAGTCGCAGGTCCAACTGCGTTGGGTCGGCATTTCAACCTCATGCAGTCAGGGTTACCAGTCCCGGTCCTACCGAGTCCGGTCACGCAAGTACCGTGTGGGACTGTGCACACCCAGGGCCTGGTGGAAAGGGGCAGACCAGCGGCAAACAGACGTATAAATCAAGAGCAGCGCCCGGCAATTCATTCATTTGCTGCGTAAGCCATGCGGAAGCGCTGCTACAGCGTCTTGTGCAAAGGTGGTCTGCAGGTTGACCGAAGACGAAGTGGGCTGAAGAGTGAGATCGTAGCCATAGTCAGTAGAGGTAGAGCGGCCATAGCCGCGATAGGAGCAAGATAGGCAGAGTGTGTGTGTGTGGGAGTATTCAGGGTGATCCGGAGTAGAGAAGAGTTGAGTGCGTGTAAACGGTGGTGTTGGATGTGGTGATGAGAGTTGGGTTGTACAGGCGCTGATGCGCCAGAGCCTATTCAAGCGATTTTGCATGTGAACAGTGTTCTCATTGTCCATATCTCTGAGCTTTGAGTGGGCGCACTGCGCCAGTGTGAATCGCCATCTGTATGCATGTCCTTGTGACACACGGGGATGGGGGGAGCCGATGCTCAACCTGACATCCACGTGGCCGGCCTTGTGCGTAAGAGGTGATGAACAGGCGGAGCTTTCCTTCTTTTTTTTTTTTTGTTTTGTCTTTTTTCGCCTTTGCGCTCCGATACACAGTGTGACTATATATATACAGGGTAACCGGTGTTCGGGACGGGCCGAACGCCCGAAACCGAATGCCCGAACGTATGGGACCCCTTGGGGATGCGTTCGGCCGTTCGGGCCGAACGCGGACCCAAAAAAAAAAAAAAAAAAAAAAAAAAAAAAACGTCATCAAAAAAATCTGAAAAAAGATATGTTATGGAGAAAATTAAATTAAACAAGATTTAACTGAGCACTACATCCGAATTCCTTACCAAATTTGAAATAAAAATAAAATATGGAAACAAATACTAATAATAAAAATAAATAAAAATAAAAAGAGAATTATATTTAGTGAGTGCGCGAGCATGTTTTCGACACCGCCATCTTTGGTGATTTTTCATGTTTTTTTGGCATAGCTAAATGCCCTGAAAATTTACAGATGTGTACTTCACATAATAAAAAAAACACTAAAAAAGTTCCAAAAAATAATAAAATTGTTTAGACCCCGAACTAAAGTGAAAACAAAAAGTAAAAACTGAAAAAATATGTGGGGGAGCACGTTTTGACACCGCCATCTTTGGCGATTTTTAATTCTTTTTTGGATTAGCCAAATGACTTGAAAATTTTCAGGCATGTACCTAACGTAATAGAGAACTCACAAAAAAACATTCAGAAAAAAATAATTATTTTTAGGCCCCGAAATAAGTTTTGGAGGGGGCCGAACGCTGTCGGACCCCGTACGGAGGTCTGCACGGAAACCTCCGTGCGTACGGGCTGGTGATATATATATATATATATGAAACTCCGACGAAACAGTTTGTCACAGCCCCTCGTTTGTTGTCCTCTTCTCCCTCTCTGCCTACGGTTTACCGGGCAGTTCTATTTGACGATATATATATATACACGGTAACCGACGTTCG